GATTCTTGCTTTATTCTAAATAGGAATCGAGATTTATTGTTTTAAAGTGATACTGTGTAGAAATTACGGATTTATTCCCTTGAAGAAATACCAAAGGTGACAGGTTCATGGTGGAATTCTCATTATACTTTATGATTAAAAAGCTGTATTATATACTATTCAATAAAATTAAACCACTTCAAAAAAAAATCAGAAATACCTAAAAATGCATAAACTGGTTTATTCATATAATGCAATACTATAGGGCAACTAAAATGAACTAGTAAAGACTTATGTATCCACATGCACACATACCAAAAACAATGCTGAACAAAAAAACCATGCTGCAGAATCATATGTATAACATAAGAATATATGTACTTTTATGGATATATACATATTAGTAAAAGTAAAAAAAAACATAACGGGAATGATAATTACTGAATTCATGACCATCTTTACCTTTAGAAGTGGGCAAGAGAAGGCAAGAGAGGGAAACAGGATCAACAAGGATACATACAGGCCTCAGCTGTATCTGTAGTTTTATCCCTTTGAAAAATTTGTATTGAAAAAAGAAAACACACAATTAGAAAATAGAAAAAAAATATACAGGGGTGTCTGGGTGGCTCAATCAGTTAGGTGTCAGATTCTTGGTTTTGGCTCAGGTCATGATCTCATGGCTCAGGAATTCAAGCCCCACATCGGGCTCCGTGCTGACAGCTCAGAGCTTGCTTGGGATTCTCTCTCCCTCTCTCTCTGTCCCTCCCGTGCTCTCTCACACCTGCTCTCTCTCTAAATAAATAAACTAAAAAAAGAGAGAAAAATACACAAAGTAAATATGATGGCCTACAAGGTGATCATTACATGCTTTTCTGTATGTTTAAAAACATTTGAAATATAAAAGTATTTCATATTTTAAAATAAATTTTAACATTAAAGAAACCCCATTAAACTGAACCAAGGAGCTTTTAAAACATATATGCCACTGGACGTCTGAAATGGAAACATACTAATTCCCAACAAACCATATATTTTTGTTTTTGTTTGTTTTATCCATTAAGTTTCAGGCCTCAGACTTCAGTTTTCTCTTTCCAAGCAGATCCTGACATAGCAGGCTTTTCCATCTTACACTCTTTTGATATTGCTTCCCAATCAAGATACACACAAAAGGTAGGAACATATAATTCAGCGCTCTCCAAGTCAATTTAAACCTTCTGGTTCTGTGCTCTACCCAAAAAGAGGGCAGTTTTTCTGCTCTGCTGGCAATTTTGCCATTTTTACTGGGTTTTTTTTTGGGGGGGGGGGCTTGCTAATAAGTTGTTTTCCATTTAAGAGAGAAAGAAGGAGGGGGCACGTGGGTAGCTCAGTGAGTTAAGCATCCGACTCTTGACTTCAGCTCAGGTCATGATATCAGTCGTGGGTTCTAGCCCCATGTCAGGCTCTGCACTGGCAGTATAGAGCCTGCTTGATATTCGCTCTCTCCCTCTCTCTCTGCCCCTCACCCATTCACATGCTGTGTGTCTCTCTCTCTCTCAAAATAAATAAATAAACTTTAAAAAAGAAAAAAGAGGGAAAGAGGAAGAAAGGAAGGAACAAATGAAGGACAGCCACCATAAGCTCTGGTAACCAATCACAAAACGCAACCAAATTTCAAAAGTCATATATAAAATATGCTGTTTCAAATGACAAGGAATTTGGCAATCTGTAACAATCTGTAATCAACTTCCTTAAAGCAAAGAACTTTTTTTGGTCTGAACCTAAAAAACAAAGCGAACACCAACCACTCATTAAAAAAGGTTAGCTTATTTCATTAATTCTGCTCTATTGCAAGAAACCCATGTAGCATATCTTATAAAACAGCTTACCAGAAATTCTCTCTCCAGCCTATCTCATACTATTACTCGACCACTTTGTTTTAGTGAGAGCAACCTATTCATTAAACCCTCACTACATCCACTTTTGCATCTTCTTACTCTTGTGTCACCATCTTTATCTATTCCCTGATCCCACAAACATGCAGTAATCTTCCCACTTTCAACAATAAACAGTAACAGCTAACATTTATAGAAAATTTAATGTATGTTAGTATTGCTTCAATGGAATTATCCCATTTAACCCACACAACCCTGTGAAATGTGTTCTATTTTCTCCTTTTTGAGGAGAGAAACTGAGTGAGGCTGTTTTCCAAGGTTGCAGAGATGGTACGTTGCAAGCCAGGTCTCAAACCCAGACTCCAAAAACTAGGCCCTCAAACATATGTGATGCTGTTTACTGGCTCAAAGCACTGACGGCCTTTATTGCTCAAATGTCACTTCACATATGCCCTGTGATATTTAACATTTTGTTTTCATAGATGTTAAGTGGTTCAAAATACTACATTCCTTCAACAAAAATTTACTGAGAGACTATATGCCGGGCAGTGTTGACTACTTGCTATAAAAGCATGTTATAGAGCCTCTACAAATGAAAAGCAGATGAATTCTTCAGATACACGGCCATCTCAGAAATATGGGTAAAGGCAAAATTAAAAGCAGTATGTACAGGGACATGTGGGTGGCTCACTCAGTTAAGCAACTGACTCTTGGTTTCAGCTCAGATCATGATCTCACAGTTTCATGGGTTCAAGCCCTGTATCACGCTCTGCACTGGCAGTGTAGAGCCTGCTTGTGATTCTTTCTCTCCCTCTCTCTGTCTACCCCTCCCCCATTCTCGGGGTCTCTGTCTCTCTCAAAATAAATAAGCTTTAAAAAAATACGTACATAGTAATTTAAACTACATAACAACAGGGGGCGCCTGGGTGGCTCAGCCAGTTAAGCACCGGACCTCAGCTCAGGTCATCATCTCATGGCTGGTGAGTTTGAGCACCAAGTCAGGCTCTGTGCTGACAGCTCAGAGCCTGGAACCTGCTTCGGATTCTGTGTCTCCCTTTCTCTCTTCCCCTACCCTGCTCACACTCTGTCTCTGTCTCTCAAAAATAAATAAAACGTTAAAAAACTAAAAAAATAATAAACTACATAAAAACAATGCTTAGATGAGGAACTGGAAAAGAACACAGTCATAATTAGTATGAAAAGGTTGGGGTTTGTTTTTTGTTCCTCAGTATTTCACTGAATTAAGCTTTTTGTTAAGAGCAATGAAAAGATGTATTAAAACAAACATGTTATGAGTGCTTTCTTTCCCCCATGAAACAGCAGAAACAGCCTAGAGAGACAGATGAATGAACATCCCTCCTCCTAACATCCCACTGTCAACTGGTTTCCTTTAGGAAGATACACCTGATGTCAGTAGTAAGGCTTGCAGATACATAATACCTCTCTACATAAGTCTCCCCACAATTACAAACTTTTGGAAACTTGTAGCTAATTACAAATTTTCATACATGGAATCCAATCGTGGAACTGACCAAAACCTTGCAGAACATCTCCTTCAGCCCTCTCATTTTACAGACTGATTACTAAATTCTAGGTTAATGACAGTAAATGCAGCAACCTATAAGAGCCGAAATTGTAGTGGCTTATATTGCAAAAGAAATGAATTTCAGAAATAAAGTCTGTGTGTGCTAGCATTGGCCTATGGAGTTCTCATTTTAATTACTGACTAGCTGTGTCCTTTGGAACTTAACCTCTACAGGCCTGGACGTCTTCATCTAGATAAATTCTAACCATTGCTGAAAAGTGTCTCAGTAGGGGAGCCTAGCTGGCTCAGTGGGAGAGCAAGTGACTCTTGATCTCAGGGTTTTGAGTACAAACCCCACTTTGGGCGTGGAGCCTACTTTAAAAAACTTAAATTAGGAAAGAAAAATGTCCTAGTAAATTTCAAGAAGACCTAAATCACATTAAGTTTCCATGGTAAATGGTACTGTTTCAACATTCCTCCCTTCAAGTTAGTTAGCAGAAATTGCACCTGCTCTCTGAAGAGGCAAAATGAACAGTGTCCAGCCATTATGAAACAAGTAGAGTTCAACCAAGAACCTCTCTGCACCCGGACACAAACAACCCTATAAAGTGACTAGTCACTGCAGAGCACTGTACTTTGCAATACATCCCTCAAACCTAACGGGGCTGACCGCACTGGAAAAAACCATATCTGACACCAAGCTCTACCGACTGCTTTTAAAAGCTGAGGCCTACTGACGTCAAACCCCCCAAACGTTATGCTTAACGACTAATGGTTCAGGCCTCTGATGTGCATCTCCCCTCTCGACTATCACCAGCTTCAGGGATCCCCAGAAAAGGAAAGGTACGGACCGCCACCGGACAGCTGACCCCGGACTTGGGAGCCCTTTGGAAAGAACGAGCATGGTTTTTGCGGCGGTTTGCGATTCGCGGTGAGCTTTCCAAGAAGCCCTGCAAGGACAGAACTGGCATGTGGGCTATCAAGCTGGCAATTTCCAGCAGGTCTTGCTAAAACGCTGTCAACCTCGCCTCCTTCCACAGCTGTCCGCTAGCTCCCTGGGGTCCACCCCGAAAGCGCAGGGCTTGAGGCCCATCAAGAGGGCGGAAACGCTGGCCTCTGGCGAGGACGGCGAAAGCCGGCGTCGGCCGGAAAAAGAAGCAGAACTGAGTAAAGAGGTATCCGCCTGAGGCGGGGTGGGGGCTGCCACCAGCGTGAGGATAGCGGGGGAACAGGACGTGACACGACGAGGCTGGCTCTGGGGAGACGAAGGGCCGCGCTCCGAGGGTAGGGCGAGTCCCGGACGAGCCAAAGGCATGGAAACAATGGCGCGGGCGTGACGTGAGGCTGGGGGCGTCGCCGCGACGCGGAGGCAGGGGCCAATCTGAGGCAGGGGCGAGCTGCGGGGGGGTGGGAACGCCGTGCGGGGACGCGGGCGCCGAGCCCTCAGACACGCAGGCGAGCGCTGGGAGGGGCGCAGCGGCCCGGGTGGGGCAGGGGCAGGGGCAGGCGCTGGCCCCCGGTCCCCGGTCCCAAGTCGCGCGCTCGGACATGCACCCTCCCTCGCGTGCTTGCTGGCTCGCTCGCCCGCTCCCTCCCCGCCCTCCCGCGGGTCCAGCCGCACTCACCGGCCCCGCCGCACGGCAGCAATCCCAGCGCGCAACTGTCGCAGCCGCCTTGGCGCGCGCCTTCCCCGCCCCCGCCGCCCTGGCACCGCCCCCAGCTCGCGCCCTGCCAGGGACCGGCGCGCTTTTCTTTCCCCAGCTCCGCCGCATAACCCGGTCGCCACGACGCTCCCTAGCTGCTATGGCAGAGAGGAGCCGCGATGCTGGCGCGCGCGCCTCGGGCTCTAGCGCTCAGGTTTGCTAGATCCACAAACAACAGAACATCAGTTGTTGCCGAGCTGTGGGGTAACGCGTGTTGACAATCCTTACATGTCTTTTAGGTCTGCATCCCTTGGCCTTGTGCCCCGCCCCTCAGCAAGGCCCGGGGCTACCTAGCCTTGGCCAACCCTCCAACGCTTTTCCTTAGAGGGATGGGGTACCCTTTTTCCCAGTCACAGAATCTTCTGGTCGAATGGACCTCAAAGCCACTCTGGTCCAGACCCCCATAGCACCCTTGAATCCCATTGACAATTAAAAGCACTAGCTTTGGAGTTTGTCAGAACAGGCTGGAATTCCAGTTCCACCGCTTACAAATTGTGTGACTTTGGGCAAATTACCTGACCTCACTACCTAGTTCCCTCATCTATAATACAGGAACAGATAACAATAGTACGTACAGGTGTTACAGGATGAAATAGTAGAGGGAAGGTGCTTAGCACAGTCCTGGCACACAGCTCTCAATAAATGTTTGTATTGACCCACCACCAATTCTAAAGAAGACTCCAATAGTGGACAGAAAGCCCACTATTTCCAGAGCAATGCATTCCTCAGCAGCGCTGACAACGGTAATAAAGTGTTTCTGAAGCCTCTACTTTCTGGCCCAAGTCCTATCCCTTGGGAGCCTCAGAGAACAAACCGGTCTAATCTCTCTTTGACTTCTACTTTTCAGATACTTGAAGATTTCTGTCCAAGGTCGTCTTTTGTTCTGGACCAGTATCTCCCTTTACTGGGGGAGGGAAGGTCTTTGTCCTCATTCTCCTCATGAACCTAGTAGGTTTGAATGTGGCTCCTGTAGAGTATATCACCCAAAACGGAATCAAATGTTTGTAGTACCATCAGAGCAAAGCAGTCCCCTAACTTCCTCCTTATAGGACTTACTGCCTTCCATTCACCCAGTGAAGTTCTTGGCTTCCGTGCTATTGACTCATTGCGCTTGCCATCAACTAAAACCTTCAAGACTTTTAAATAACTGCTCTGCTGGAGCATTTTTTTTTACCTCTCTGGTGGTTTTTGAGCCAACTTCATTCAGGTCAGCTGAGGACAGGCCTTGGACCTCTCACCTACTAGATTTTTCAGGATTATGTGAGAAAAAGGAATAGGAGTTGGAAGTTCATCTAATGCCATCTTTAAACCAAGTGTTTTTGGAAAAAGGTCAGGGTTTCTGTCTAAAGACCATCCCACTGAGCAAATAAAATGCATGCATATATATGTGTGTGTGTGTGTGTGTGTGTGTATATGTATATATGCATATACACACACACACACACATATATATATATGTATATAAAATCCAACAGCAAGAAAAAGTGCACACACACAAACACACACAAACTAAAAGGAAATATATAAGTATGTTACTCAGGGTGGTTTCTTTTCTTCTTTATACTTTTCCATAAATTTCCCAGGTTTTCTACATTGTTTATACTACTTTTATAATCGAGAGCTGTGTTTCCAAAAAAAATCAGAACAAGTAATTTTAAAAATCAGAGACATGTAATAACTTTAAAAATTGGGAAACAAACAAGACATAACTAAGAAAAAATTTGTAATATATAAAACAAAGGATTTGTATCTGGAACATACAAAGGATTCTTAACAAATCAATAAGAAGAAAAATCTACTAGAAAAATGGGCAAATAATATAAATAGGCAGTTCACAGAAAATACAAATTGCTAACAAACACACAAAAAAATACTATCTCACTGGTAACCAAGGAAATGGAAATTAAAACTGAGATTGGCAACAATTTTCAATCTTCATAATATGAAAAGAATATAAATTGGCACCTCCACTTTAGAGGGCAACTGAACAACATCTATTAAATCCATGTCTCAGCAATACCACTTTTACTTATCTAACTGTATGTAATATGGAGGTGTGTATAAGGATAATTACTATGATATTGTTAAAAAAGAAAATGTGAGGGTGCTGGGGTGGCTCAGTCAGTTGAGCATCCAACTTTTGATTTCAGCTCAGGTCATGATTTTACTGTTCATGAGATCCAGCCCTACATCAGGCTCTGTGCTAACAGAAAAAAGTTAAATAAACTTAAAAAATAAAAAATATTTAAAGTTAAATAAATAAAGTTAAATAAACTTTAAAACAATAAAAAATTTTTAAAGTTAAATAAACTTTTAAAATTTTTTAAAAATTAAATTTAAAGAAAGAAAATGTGGAATCAGCCTTAATGCCCATCATTAGGGGAGTGGCTAAATAAAATGTAGAATGCTCATAATGGAATTCTATAGCGGATTTAAAAGAAGTGACCTTGATCTATATGTTAATATAGATTTATCTCAAAATCATATAGCTGAATGTAAGCAGCAAGTTGCAGCATGATATATAATATGTATATTATATTGATATTTTTAAAAAATCTTCCTCAAAATGGATAACTTCAGTCTAATTATGAAAAATCATCAGACAAACCCAAATCAAGGGATATTCTACAAAATACCTGACCTGGACTATTCAAAAGGATTAAGGTTGGGGTGCCTGGCTGGCTCAGTCGGGAGAGCATGTAACTCTTAATCTCAGGGTCAAGAGTTCGAGCCCCATGTTGGGTGCAGAGATTACTTAAAAGTAAATAAATAAATGAACTTAAAAAAAATGGAAGCCTTTAAAAAAAAAAGTGTTAGGGTCATGGAAGTCAAGGAAAGACTGAAAACTGTCACAGGTTGGAGGAAGCTAAAGAGAAAACTAAATGCAATGTTGGATCCTGGAACCATAAAAACACATTAGTGGAAAAACTGGTAAAGTTTTAACAAAGTTTATAATTTAATAGTATATTGTACCAGTGTTAATTTCTTAGTTTTGACCATTAAACCAGAGTTATGGAACCTGTTAACATTAGGAGAGGCTGAGTGAAGGTATACTGGAACTTTCTGTTAAGATCTTTGCAGTTGCATAGTTGTATATCTAAAATTATTTCAAAATAAAATGTTAAAACACTTTGCAACTCTCCTGTAAACTAAAATTGTTTTCAAAATAAAATGTTAAAATAGACATAAATACCATTATCTCTTATCAACACTGCTATAGACAATGTTTGTATCCCCTTCTAAATTCAGATGATGAAACCTAATGCCTAATGTGATGGTGTGTAAAGGTGGGTCCATTGAAAGGTAATTAGGTCATGAGGGCAGAGTCCTCATAAATGGAATGAGTGCCCTTATAAAAGAGACCCCAGAAAACTTCCTACCTTCTCTGCTCTATAAGGACAAAGTAAGAAGACAGCTGTCTCTGAACCAGGAAACAAGCCTTCACCAAATCTGCTGGTGCCTTGCTCTTGGACTTCCCAGCCTCTAGAACTGTGAGGAATTTTATAGGCTACTAAGTGACTGGTATACTATTATAGCACCCCAAACTAAGACAATCACACATTAAATTTGTAAAAGATTTTTAAAACAGGTTATAAGGCTACATGCCAAACTCATCAGAAGTTATCTCTAGGGGTGCCTGGGTGGCTGTCAGTTAAGCATCAGACTCTTGAGTTCCATTCAGGTCATGATCTCACAGTTCATGAGGTAGAGCCCCACGTTGGGTTCTGTGCTGACAGCGCAGAGCCTGCTTGGGATTCTCTCCCTCTTAGGATTCTGCTCCTCCCCCACTTGTGTGTGTGTGTGTGTGTGTGTGTGTGTGTGTGTGTGTGTGTGTGTCTCAAAATAAATAAATAAACTTAAAAAAAATTCTCTCTTAAAAAAAAAAGCGGGGCGCCTGGGTGGCGCAGTCGGTTAAGCGTCCGACTTCAGCCAGGTCACGATCTCGCGGTCCGTGAGTTCGAGCCCCGCGTCGGGCTCTGGGCTGATGGCTCAGAGCCTGGAGCCTGTTTCCGATTCTGTGTCTCCCTCTCTCTCTGCCCCTGCCCCGTTCATGCTCTGTCTCTCTCTGTCCCAAAAATAAATAAACGTTGAAAAAATAAAACTGCCACTTCCCAATCTGAAAAAAAAAAAATAAATAAATAAAAATAAAAATAAAAGCTATCTCTATCTCTAAAGATGGGGTAAGGCGCCAAGATTGGGGGTAAAGTTCAAGGGGAGTTTAATTTAGTTTTACTGTTTCTGAAGATAAGTGTATTCATGTATTGTTTTTGTAACCAGAAATTATTATTTTTTTTAATTGCAGAAGAAAGGAAAAGGACAGGGCATTTGGCCTTATGACTCCTTCTGGAGTAAGACAAGCCATACCAAGTATGAAAGAACTGAACCTTCTAACAGAAGAGTGGGGAGCCTGAGGAAGCAAAGGAGCCTTAAGTGGCTTGCTTGTGATCTCTAACTTGGCATGGGCTGAAGGGCCTGGGCAGTGAGTGCTTAAAAAGAGATGCCATTCTACTGTGGCCTTGGATGGCCTCTCACCAAACTTCCTGCCCAGCACCCACATGGCTGTCCCACCCCTCTGATTAATACTATTTTCCCCAGAGTACCATAAAAGTCTGAGTCAACCAGAACGTAAGCAGCATTCACAGGTTACTCATCAGTTTTCTGCTCCTTGGTAAAAACTCTCAGAGAAATGCAAACATTGCTTAACACCCTGGCCTGGGGCCTAGAAACAACCTCCTGCTGCCCAAAACTCTTTGTCCCAGGAAGTGTTCAATCTTAGATCCAATCAGCCACCTCATTTGTCTCCTCTGTTTTTCATCCTTCTTTATCTAATAGCATAGGATCAGCACTTACCATGATAAGTGCCAGTACAGGCATTATGGAAGAAGACAACCATAAAATGTTTAGTCTAGCTAGAAATGTCTATTTCTAGTCCAATTTGAGAGATGGGACATCCATGTA